TTGAATATTATTCTGCAGTGTGCCTATCTAGGTCCTTTGTGCTTTTTTCAATTGGGTGAATCAGATTTGTAGGCATTATTTATTCTGGAGCAGAGTCTTTTGCTGGATATATACGTTGCTAATATCTCCTACTTTTTGGCTTGTTTAGTCTTCTGATGTTGTCTTTGGATGAACATAAGTTCTTCATTTTAAGGTAGTTCCAATTTATTGATCTTTTTCTTTATAGTTAGTATTTTCATGCCATATTTCAGAAATCTTTGTCTTTTTTGAGGAAGTGAGGATATTTCTTGTGTTACCTTTAAGAAGCTGAGCTGAGGATGTTAGCTCAGGGCCAGTCTTCCTCAGCAAAAAAAAGAAGAGGATTGGCATCAGATGTTAGCTCAGGGCTGATCTTCCTCACAAAAAAAAAAGAAGCTGTCTTGGTTGATTTTTGGGGTAATATTGTAAATGGAATTATTTAAAAATTTTTATTTCCTAATCGTTTGCTAGTAGAAAGAAAAGCTTTTTGTATATTGATATTGTATTCAGTGACCTTGCTGAATTTACTTCTAAACACTAATAGTTTACCTATAGATTCTTATGGATATTTTATATACACAAGCATGTTGTGTGCAAATTATGAATATTTTGTTCTTCATTTCCAATTCTTCTGTTTTTTTCCTATAAATTATTTCACTGGCTTAGATTACACAGTAGAGTGTTGAATAGACGTGATAATAACAAGCATCTGTGTCTTGTTTCTAGTCTTGCAGAAGGGATTACAAGAATGGAAATCTTCAGCATTTCACCATTGTGTTAACTGAAGTTTTGAAATATTCTTTATCTGATTAAGGAAATTAATTTCTTTTTAGAATTTGCTGAGAAAGTGTTTTTTTTTTAAATCCTGATGGTTGTTAAATTATTTCCATTTTTTCTGCATCTGTTCATTTGACTTTTCCCATTTATTCTATAAATGTGGGGATAACATTCAGAAAAGAATACCAAAGTAAAACCAACTTGGAATTCTTAGCATAAATCCAACTTAGTCATAATATATTTTATTTTATATATATTGCTGGATTTGGTTTGCAACTGTCTTTAGGATTTTTGTATCCAGGCGCATAAGAGCTTGTAATTTTCCTTTCTTAAAATATCCTTGGTATAAAAGTTACGCTAGCCTCTTGAAACAAAGTGGAAACTTCCTTTTTTCCTGTTCTTTGGAAGAGCTTGTGTCGAATTTATAGTGTTCTTCCTTAAATTTTGGCGTAGTTTATTGGTAAAGTCACCTGGGCTTGGAGCATTTTTTTGTTTTGTTTGTTTTTTTGAGGGACGGTTTTAAATTGTGGATTCAATTTGTTTAATAGATAGAGAATTATTCATACTTTCTTTTTGTAAGTTTTGATGAGTTGAGGTTTTCTGGGAATTTCTCCATTTCATTTAAACTTTCAAATTCATTCTCATAAACTTATATATAATAGCCTCTTAATGTTTTAGAATTACTGATATTCTTGTTTTTTCATTTTCTTTTCTTTTCCTTTCTTTCTTTTTTTTTTTTTTTTGTGAGGAAGATTAGCCCTGAGCTAACATCTGTTGCCAATCCTCCTCTTTTTGCTGAGGAAGACTGGCCCTGGGCTAACATCTGTGCCCTCCGTTTTATATGGGACGTTGCCACAGCATGGCTTGGCAAGCGGTGTGTTGGTGTGCGCCCGGGATCCGAACCCTGGGCCGCTGTGGAGGAGCATGTGCACTTAACCGCTTTGCCACTGGGCCGGCCCCTTTGTTTTTTTTTTTTTTATTGAGGTGTAACTGACGTAACAATATTATATCAGTTTCAGGTGTATAACATAATGATTTGGTATTTGCAGGTATTGTGAAATGACTTCTTATTTCTCTGACTTATTCCACTTCGCATAATGCCCTCAGGGTCCATCTAGGTTGTCACAAATGACAAGATTTCGTTCTTTTTTATGGCTGAGTGATACTCCATTGTGTGTGTGTGTGTGTGTGTATATATATACACACACACACACACACACACACACACACACACCACTTTTTTATTTATCCATTCATCCACCGGTGGACACTTAGGTTGTTTCCATATCTTGGCTATTGTAAATAATGCTGCAGTGAACATGAGGGGGCATGTATCTTTTTGAGTTAGTGTTTTCATTTTCTTCAGATAAATACTCAGAAGTGGAATAGCTGGATCATATGGTAGTTTTATTTTTAATTTTTTGAGGAACCTTCATACTGTTTTCCATAGTGGCTGCACCAATTTACATTCCCACTAACAGGGCACAGGGGTTCCCTTTTCTCCACATCGTCACCAACACTTGTCATCTCTTGTCTTTTTGATAATAGCCGTTCTAACAGGTGTGAGGTGATGTCTTCTTGTGGTTTTGATGTGCATTTCCCTGGTGATTAGTGATGCTGAGCATCTTTTCATGTGCCTGTTGGCCATCTGTATGTCGTCTTTGGAAAAATGTCTATTTAAATAGATCTTCTGGGCCGGCCCGGTGGCTTGGTGGTTGAGTGCACACGCTCTGCTGCTGGTGGCCTGGGGTTTGGGTCCCGGGCGTGCACCGACGCACCGCTTGTCCGGCCATGCTGGGGCCATGTCCAACATGCAGCAGCTGGAGGGATGTGCAGCTATGGCGTGCAGCTTTCTGCTGGAGCTTTGGGGGGAAAAAGGAAAGAAGGAGGGGGATTGATGATGGATGTTGGCTCGGAGCCAGTCTTCCTCGGCGAGGGGAGGAGGATTGGCATGGATGTTGGCTCGGGGCTGATCTTCCTCACAGGGAAAAAAAAAAATAGATCTTCTGCCCATTTTTTGATTGGGTTTTTTTTTTGCTGTTGAGTTGTATGAGTTCTTTATATATTTTGGATATTAACTGCTTATCCGATAAATGACGTGCAAATATTTTTTCCCATTCAGTAGGTTACCTTTTCATTTTGTTGATAGAATTACTGACATTCTTGACGTTGGTAATTTGTGCTTTTTTCTTTTGTCAGGTTTATTAATTTTTTTTAAAGATAAACTTTTGGTTTTGAATTCTTCCCCCCCCCATTATACTTTGCTTTTATATGTCATTGATTTATTTTCTTTTCTTCCTTTCTTTTGTTTTAATTTACTGTTCTTTTTCTAACTTTTTGAAATGGAGGTGCTTAGATCATTTTTTTAGATAAAATTTATTTAAGTATATCCATCATTTAAAAATGTACAGTTTATTGATTTTAGTGTATTCACAAAATTGTGAAACCATCACCACTATCTAATTCCAGAACATTTTCATCACTCCCAAAAGAAAACTTGTACCCATTAGCCATCACTCCCCTCCACCCTTTTCCCATTCGCTGGCAGCAGCTAATCTGCTTTTGGTCTCCATGGATTTGCTTCCCCTGCATATTTCATGTAAATGGAATGATATAATATGTGGTCTTTTATGTTCAGCTTCTTTCACTTAGTGTAGTATTTTCAACATTCATCCATGTTGTACCATGAATCAGTACATCATTCCTTTTTCTGGCTGAATAATAGTCCAATATATGGATATGTCACATTTTCTTTATCCATTCATCAGTTGATGGACATTTGGGTTGTTTCCACTTTTTGACTATTATGAATAATATTGTTAAGAACATTCATGTAGAAGTTTTTGTGTGGAAATAGGTTTTCAGTTTTCTTAGGTATATGCCTAGGAGTGAATTTGTGGATCACGTGGTGTCTGGGAGTTTAACTTTTTGTTTGTGTGTGTGAGGAAGATTAGCCCTGAGCTAACATCCGATGCCAATCCTCCTCTTTTTGCTGAGGAAGACTGGCCCTGGGCTAACATCCATACCCATCTTCCTCTACTTTATAGGGGATGCGCCAGAGTATGACTTTACAAGCAGTGCATCGGCGTGTGCCTGGGATCCGAACCTGCGAACCCTGGGCCACCAAAGTGGAGTGCGCACACTTAACTGCTACACCACCGTGCTGGCCCTGAGTTTAACTTTTTGAGAAACTGCCAAACTGTTTTCAAAGCAGCTGACCGGTTTTTATTCCCACCAGCAATGTATGAGGGGTTGAGTTTTTCCATATGCTTATCAGTACTTTTTATTATCTTTTTGATTATAGCCATTGTTGTGGATGTGAAGTATCTCATTGTGGTTTTGATTTCTCTAATGATGTTGAGCTTATTGGCCATTTTATATTTTCTTTGGACAAAATGTCACTTTAAATCCTTTGCTCATTTTAAAACTAGAATGATTTTTTTTTTTTACCATTAAGCTATGAGTTCTTTATATATTCTAGATGTAAGACCCTCATCAGATGTATGATTTGCAAATATTTTCTCCATTCTGTGGATTGTCTCTTCACTTTTTTGATGGTGTATTTTTTTGTAGCAGAAAAGTTTTTAATTTTAATGAAGTCTGTTTTTTTTTTTTTTTTTTTCCTTTGGTTGCTAGCGTTTTTGGTATCATATCTAAGAAACTTGATTCAATATTGCAAAGATTTGTCCTTGTTTTTTTCTAAGAGTTTTCTAGTTTTAGCTATTACATTAGCTCTATGATCCATTTTCAGTTAATTTTTGTATGTGGTGTGACATAGGGGTCCAGCTTAATTCTTTGCACGTAGATATTCAGTTGTCCAAGAACTATTTGTTGAGAAGAATATTCTTTCACCGTTGAATGGTCTTGGCATCAGTTGACCATAAATGTAAGGGTTTATTGCTGAACTTTTCAGTTGTATTCCATTGATCTACATCTGTCCTTAAGCCAGTACCACACAGTCTTGATTACTGTAGCTTTGCAGTAAGTTTTGAAATAGGGAAGTGTGAGTCTTCCAGCACTGAGACTGTTTTGGGAATTCATGGTCACTTGCAATTCCTTATGAATTTTAAGATCAGTGTGTCAATTTCTGCAAAAAAAAAAAAAAAAAAGGCAGTTGGGCCTTTGAATCATAGATCAACTTGGAGACTGTTGCCGTCTTAATGATATTGAGTCTTGCAATTCATGAATATGAAGTGTCTTTCAATTTATTTAATTTCTTTCAACAATGTTTTGTAGTTTTCCGTGTACAGGTCTTGCACTGTATTTGTAAGTATTATTCTTTTTGAGGCTGTTGTAAATGAAATTTTCTTAATTTCATTTTCAGATTATTCATTGCTAGTGTATAGAAGTATAATTGATTTTTTTTTTTTTCTTTCGAGGAAATCAGCTGTGAGCTAACATCCATGTGAATCCTCCTCTTTTTGCTGAGGAAGACCGGCTCTGAGCTAACATCTATTGCAAATCCTCCTCCTTCTTTTTCCCCCCAACCCCCAGCAGATAGTTGTGTGTCATAGTTGCACATCCTTCTAGTTGCTGCATGTGGGACGTGGCCTCAGCATGGCTGGAGAAGCGGTGCATCAGTGTGCGCCCGGGATCCGAACCCGGGCCGCCAGTAGCGGAGCGCACGCACCTAACTGCTAAGCCACGGGGCCGGCCCCTATAAGGGATTTTTTAATATTGATCTTGTACTCTTCCATTTTGCTGAACTAATTTATTAGCTCCAATTATTTCTTTGTAGATTCCTTAGGATTTTTTATATCCAAGATCATGTTTTCTGTGAATAAAGTTTTACTTTTTTCTTTCCAGTATAGATGTCTTTTATTTATTTTTCCTGCCTAATTGCCCTGGCTAGAACCTTCGGTACAGTTTTGAATAAAAGTGACAGGAGTAGACATTCTTGTCTTGCCTATCTTATGAGGAAAACTTTCAGTCTTTGACCATTAAAGTATGACATCAGATGTGGAGTTTTTGTAGAAGCCCTTTATCAGGTTGAGGATGTTTCCTTCTATTCCTGGTTTATCGAATATATATATTTTTAATCATGAAAGGGTGTTTGATTTTTGTCTGACTTTTTAATGTGTCTATTTAGATGATCATGTAATTTTTGTCCTTTTTCTGTTAATGTGGTGTATTTCACTGATTGATTTTCATCTGTTGAACTAGCCTTGCATTCTTCAGAAAGATTTTATTTGGTCACGGTGTATAATCCTTTTTATATATCATTGCATTTGGTTTGCTGGTATCTTGGTGAGGATTTTTGTGTTTATATTCATAAGGGATATAGGTCTATGATTTTCTTGTGACGTCTTTGCTTTTAGTATTAGGGCACTGAGGCTAAAATACTGGCCTCATGACTGAATTGTGAAGTGTTCTCTATTCCATTTTTTGGAATATTTTATGAAGAATTGGTATAATTTCTTTTTAAGCCTTTGGTAGAATTCACCAATGAAGCTATATGGTCCTGTACTTGTCTTTGTGGGAAGTTTTTGATTACTAGTTTAGGCTCTTTGCTCCTTATAGGTCTGTTCAGCTTGTTTATTTTTTCTTGTGTCAGTTTTGGTAGTTTATGTCTTTGTAGGAATTTATCCATTTTATTTAAATTATCCAATTTATTGGAATTCAATTGTTCATAGTATTCCCTTTTAATTTCTGTAAGGTTGGTAGTGATATCCCCACTTTCATTTCTGATTTTAGTAATTTGAGTCTTTGATCTTTTTTTCATGGTCAGTCTAGCTCAAGGTTTGTCAATTTTGCAGATGTTTTCAAAGAACCAACTTTTGGCTTTGTTAATTTCTCTCTATCATTTTTCTAGTCTTTATTTCATTTATTTCTGCTTTAGTCTTTGTTCCTTCTGCTTGCTTTTAGTTTTTGTTTTTTGCTCTTTTTCTGTTTCCTTAAGGTATAATGTTAGGTTATTGATTTAAGATCATATTTTTTAAGATACGCATTTACAACTATAACTTGTCTTCAAGTACTCCCTTCACTGTATGCCATAAACTTTAGTATGTTGTGTTTCGTTCATCTCAGAGTATTTTCTGATTCCCTTGTGATTTTTTTGATCCATTGATGATGAAATTTAATTTCCACATATCTATTCCAGGTTTCCTTCTGTTACTGATTTCTAATTCTGTTGTGGTCAAGAAACATACTTTGTTTGATTTCAGCCCTTTCAAATTTATTGAGATTTGTTTTATGACATTACATATGGTCTGTTTTACACAATATTTAATATGCACTTTAGAAGAATGTGTATTCTGCTATGATTGGACAGAGTGTTCTATGGATGTCTGTTAGTTGTGGTTGATTTACAGTGTTCAAGTCTTCTCTTGCTGATCTTCTGTCTTCTTGTTCTGTCAGTTATTGAAAGTGTGCTATTGATGTTTCCAACTATTACTGTTGAATTATCTATTTAACCTATTCTGTCAGTTTTTACATCGTGTGTCTTGGTGCTGTGTTCTTACGTTCACCTATGTTTATAATTGTTACATTTTCTTGATGGAGTGACCTTTTTATCATTGTAAGATATCCTTCTTTGTCTCTAGTAACAATTTTTGTCTTGAGGTTTATTTTGTCTGATATTAGTATAGCCACTCCAGCTCTCTTTTGGTTACTGTTTGCCACGTATTTCTTTTTCTGTCCCTTTATTTTCAACCTATTTGTGTCTCTGAATCTAAAGTCTCTCTTCTATACAGCATATATATTTGGATTGTAGATTTTTAAAATTCACTTTGCCGATCTCTGCCTTTTTAATTGGAGAGTTTAATCTATTTATGTTTAGTGTAATTACTGGTAAGATAGGATATACATCTGCCATTTTGCTATTTGTTTTTCATATGTCTTAAGTTTTTTTTTCTTTCTCTGTTTCTCATTAACTGCCTTCTTTTCTAAGTAGATATTTTCTAGTGTACCATTGTAATTTCCTTGTTGTTTCTTTTACTATATTTTTTAAAGTTATTTTCTTAATGGCTGCCCTGGAGATTACAACTAGCATCTTAATTTATAACAATCTAGTTCAGTTTAACACCAATTTAATTTCAACAGCATACAAAAACATTGCTCTAGTATCGCTGCATTCCCTCCCTCCTTTGTGCTGTTAGTGTCATACAAATTACATCTTCATACATTTTTGCCCATCAACACAGATTTATAATTATTCTTTTATTCAGTTATCTTTTAATATGATATAAAAAATTATAAACAAAGGTACATTTTTACTGTATCTTATGTTTACCTGTGTAGTTACCTTTTCTGGTGTCTTTGTTACTTCATGTGCATTAAACAAACTGTAGTGTCTTTTCATTTTATCCTGAAGGACTATTTTTATTATTTATGTAGGGCAAGTCTGCTAGCTACAGACTCTGTCAGTTTTTGTTTTTCTGAGAATGTCTTAATGTCTTCATTTTCAAAGGATTGTTTTACTGGCCATAAAATGATTAATTGTTTTCCCAACCCTATAAATACATCATCTTACTGCCTTCTAACCTCGATGGTTTCTGATGAGAAATCAGCTGTTAATCTTACTGAGGCTCCCTTGTATATGATATATGAGGCTCCCTTGTATATGATATATGATGAGTTGCTTTTCTCTTGCACATTTCAAAATTCTGCTTGTCTCTGGCTTTCAACAATTCAATTATGATGCGTTTCAGTGTGGCTGTCTCTGAGTTTATCCTGCTTGGAGTTCATTGAGTTTCTTGGATGAGTATATTGATGTTTTTCATCAAATGTGGGAAATTTTCTATCATTTTTTTTCACATATTCTTCCTTTTCTTTTTGCTCTCTCTCCTTCTGAGACTTCGATTGTGTGTATGTTGGTACACTTGATTGTATCCCAGAGGTATCTGAGACTCTTCATTTTTCTTCATTCTTTTTTCTTGTTCTTCCTCAGATGACTCCACTGAGATTATCCAGTCTCCAGGTTTGGTGATTCTTTCTTCTGCCTTTTTAAATCCTGAGACCCTGTAGTGAATTTTTCATTTTAGTTATTGTACTTTTCAGCTTCAGATTTTCTAATTGGTTCTTTTTTTTATAATTTTTATATGTTTATTGATATTCTGTTTGGTGAGACACTGTTCTCATACTTTTCTTTTCTCTTAGACATGGTTTCCTTTAGCTCTTCAAACATTTAAAATAGCTGATTGACGTCTTTGTCTAGTACTTGGAATGTCTAGTCTTTGTCAGGTAATTTCTTTTGATTGCTTTTTCTTCCCTCTGAATGGGCCATATTTTCTTGTTTTTTGCATGTTTTATAAATATTTTGTTGAAAAGTGGACACTTCAAATAACTTAATTTGACAAATCTGGAAATCAGATTATCCTTCTTCCCCAGCGTTTGTTGTTCTGTTTGTTATTGTTTTTTTTTTTGCGAGGAAGATCAGCCTTGAGCTAACATCCATGCCAATCCTCCTCTTTTTGCTGAGGAAGACCAGCTCTGAGCTAACATCTATTGCCAGTCCTCCTCCTTTTTTTTCCATTTTTCTCCCCAAAGCCCCAGTAGATGGTTGTATGTCATAGTTGCACATCCTTCTAGTTGCTGTATGTGGGATGCTGCCTCAGCATGGCCGGACAAGCGGTGTGTCGGTGCGCGCCCAGGATCCGAACCTGGGCCACCAGCAGCGGAGCGCGCACACTTAACCGCTAAGCCATGGGGCTGGCCCCTGTTTGTTATTGTTGAGTGACTTTTCTCAACTAATTCTGTCAAGTTTGTATTTTTTTTATATGTGTCAACTGAAGTCTCTACTTGATTATCTTAGTGGTCAGCTAATGATGGAACAAATATTTCCTTACGTGCTTGGAAGCAATAAGTCGCTCTCTCTTTTGTCTGTGGACCCAGCATGCCTTCCACATTCGAGCCATACAGCTTACAACTCCTCAGTGGCCTTCACTTCCCTGCTTGTGCAGAGCCTCAAGGTTAACCAGAAGTGAGAGCTTAGGGCTTTCTAAGGTCTTTTCTGAGCATACGTGTGGCCTTCTAGATTCCCAGGAATATGTAGGTATTTTTCAAGCCCCTTATGGCTATCTCATTCCCTAGCTTTTCCTTTTAAGCTTTTTGTGGTAGTCGATTGTTTGCCTAAACTGTTATTTACTACTTGAGGTACCAGGTGTTTGACAATTGCATTTGATTGTTTAACAAACTTGCCCTAAAGGTCATTCATACTACATGAGCTCTAAGGCGAGTCCAAGAGATAGCCTTGAAAAATGGGAACTTCCAAGGAACCACCAGAAAAGTTAAGTAATGACAATCTCTGGGGATGGGCCTTGAGCTCCAACCTTATTCTGCTTCTTCCCGTAGCTGCTAGGCTGCTAATTTTCACTGTGAATATAGGCTGCTGGTTTTCAAGGTTACTGCAGAGCTAGGGAGGAGGAAGTGGAAATAGTGCAAGTTAAAAGGCCACAAAGCATGCTGTTTTTACTAAGGTTCAGCTGTTTTGTCTTTGAGTTTTAAGTAAGCGTTCCCTAGTTACTTCAAGGCTTTGTTTAATTTCCAGAGTTCTGACAAAGTTCATTCTGACCATTTTTGCCAGTGTTCTCACTGCTTTTATGGGGGAAAGAATTTTCAGAGGTCTTTACTCTGCCATTTCACTGACATCACCCTGATCATTGCTTTTTAACCTTTCCAATACATGCACCAAAGGCTATAAATTTTCTTCTAAAAGAAAACATAGGCAGTACGCTCTTCGACATCAGTCTTAGCAACATCTTTTCAAACACCATGTCTGACCAGGCAAGAGAAACAATAGAAAAAATAAACAAATGGGACTACATCAAACTAAAAATCTTCTGCACAGCAAAGGAAACCATCAACAAAATGAAAAGACAACCTAACAATTGGGAGAAGATATTTGCAAACCATACTTCTGATAAGGGCTTAATCTCCAAAATATATAAAGAACTCATGCATCTTACCAACAAAAAAACTACCAACCCAATTGAAAAATGGGCAAAAGACCTGAACAGACATTTCTCCAAAGAAGATATACAGATGGCCAACAGACACATGAAAAGATGTTCAAAATCACTATCAGGGAAATGCAAATCAAAACTACAATGAGATATCACCTGACGCCCGTCAGAATGGCTATAATTAACAAGACAGGAAACAACATGTGTTGGAGAGGATGTGGAGAGAAGGAAACTCGCATACACTGCTGGTGGGAGTGCAAACTGGTGCAGCCACTATGGAAAACAGTATGGAGATTCCTCAAAAAATCAAGGATAGAACTACCATATGATCCAGCTATCCCACTGCTGGGTATTTATCCAAAGAACTTGAAAACACCAATTTGTAAAGGTACATGCACCCATGTGTTCATTGCAGCGTTATTCACAATAGCCAAGACTTGGAAGCAACCTTAAGTGCCCATCAAGGGACGAATGGATAAAGAAGATGTGGTATATATACACAATGGAGTACTACTCAGCCATAAGAAACGATGAAATCCAGCCATTTGTGACATCATGGATGGACATTGAGGGTATAATGCAAAGTGAAATAAGTCAGAGGGAGAAGGTCAAATACTGTATGATTTCCTTCATTAAGTAGTAGATAATAACAACAATAAACAAACACATAGGGACAGAGATTGGATTGGCGGTTACCAGAGGGGAAGGGGGGAGGGAGGAGGGTGAAAGGGATAATTCGGTACATGTGTGTGCTGATGGGTTGTAATTAGTATTTTGGTGGTGAACATGATGTAATCTATGCAGAAATAGAAGTACAATGATGTACACCTGAAATTTTTACAGTTATAAACCAATGTTACTGCAATAAACAAAAAATTAAAAAATAAATAAATAAATTTTCTTCTAAGGATAGGTTTAAGTGCATTCTATGACTTATGATATCTTTTTAATTATCATTCAGTTATTTTTTCTAATTTACATTAGATGTCTTGCTGACCCTTGAAGAAGTATATAGTTTAACTTCAAGATATTTGGACTTTTTGTTGTCTTTTTGTAATGGAGTTTTATCTTAATTTTGCTATGATTGTAGAACATCTTCCATATGGTTTCAGTCTTTGAAATTTGTTGACTTTCTTTATGGTCTAGCATATGACCTACTTTGTTAAATGTTCTGTGTACACTTGTAGAGGAAGTGTATTGAGCACTTGTTGGATACAGTGTTCTGTTTATGTCAGGTCAAGTTTATTAATTTTACGTTTCAGATCTTCTATGTTGTTATTACAGTCACGTGTCACTTCATGATGGGGATATGTTCTGAAATGCATTGGTAGGTGCTTTAATAGTTGTGTGAACATCATAGAATGTACTTACACAAACCTAGCTGGTATAACCTACTACACACCTAGGCTACATGGTACTAATTTTATGGGACCACCATTGTATATCTGGTCTGTTGTTGACTCATTATGTGGTGCATGACTGTGTTTTTGGTCTGCTGCTTATATCAGTTACCAATAAAAATATGTTAAAAGCTCTAGCTTTTGTCGTATTCTTGACTATCTCTCCTTTTAGGTTTGTGGACTTTTTTTTCTCTACAGATTTTTGCACACTGTTATTAAGTTTTAGAATTATATCTTCTTGTGGATTGACTCCTTTATACTTAGGAAATGACTTCTTTATGTCTCATGCTTTTGCCTTAAACTTTAACTTTGATGTTTTAGTTACACCAGCATTCTTTGATTAGTTTTGGCATGGCATATCTTTTCTCATATTTTTCAACCTGTCAGTCACATTGTATGTTTAAGACATGACTCTAATAAGCAGCATGTAGTTGAGATTTTGATTGTGTGTGTGTGTGTGTGAGGAAAATTACGCCTGAGCTAACATCCGTTGCCAATCCTCCTCTTTTTGCTGAGGAAGATTGGCCGTGGGCTAACATCCGTGCCCACCTTCCTCTACTTTATATGTGGGATGCCTGCCACAGCATGGCTTGATAAGCGGTGCATAGGTCCATGCCCGGGATGCAAACCTGCGAACCCTGGGCCGCTGAAGTGGAGCGCACAAATGTAACCATTATGCCACTGGGCCAGCCCAGGATTTGGATTTTTAATTCATTCTGTCAGTATGCATCTTAATTGCAGTTTTGGGGTTTTTTTTTTTAAACACGTAGTTGAACTATTAATTTGCTTATGCTTAAATATATCATCTTTATTTGGTCTTATCTTTGTCCTTCATGTTCTCTATGGCCTTCTTTTAGTTTAATCAAGTATTGTTTATTTAAACTTCTCCCTTGTGTGGTTTGAGTAAACATTTTTTTTACTTTTTTGTTTTTGACATTTGTTGTTTTTGTGGCTACCCTAGGAATTAGAACTTGTATCTTTGCCTTATTAGTATCTGACAAGTTAGTACTTTCTTCACTTCCTGGAGAATGCAGACATCTCATAGAACTCCAGTTACCCTGTTCTCATAGCCTTTGTGCTGTTGTTACTATGCATTTTAACTGTATGTGTATTTTTAAATCCCAGAAGGAATTATTTTGTATAATTATTATTTAGTCTTGCTCACATATATCTTCTTTTCATTGTTCTTTTCTCAATTTCTGTGCTTCCATGTGGGTTCACTTTCCTTCTCCCTAGGAATGTCTTCAGTGTTCTCTTTATTGTGAGTTTACTGGCAATTTTTTTAATTCTCCCTGAAAATGCCTTTATTTCACCTTCATTTCTTAGGATATATTTGCTGGTTATAGAATTCTTGGTTGGCATTTATCATTCCATTCTGTATATGTTGATTATCTTCGGGCTTTCAAGGTTTTGTTGACAAATCAGTCGCTCTTGTTTGAAATTTCTTGTTATTTGTTTCTGTTTCTTACTCTGCTTGTTTGTCTTCCTTTTCCCTGTCTTCTTTTCTGCTGTTTTGCTTCGTCTACATTTGATACCTTTTTATTTTTCTTGCTTATGAGTTCTTGAGCTTCTTATTTGTATGGATTGGTATCTTTCAGTACTCAATTTACAACCATTATCTCTTTGGTATATTTCCTCTGCTAAGAGATATTTCCTCTGCTTCATTTTTCTCTTTTCTTCTTCTGTGACTCTAATTAAACATTTATTCTACTTTCTCATTCTATCCTTTGTCTCTCATTCTCTCTTTGGCATTTTCTATTTTTTTATCTTCCCACTTCATTTTGGATATTTGGATATTTTGGTCTTGTATTCTAGTTCACTTCTTCTCCTGAACTGTGCCTCATTTGATGTTAAACTCCACTTTTGAGTTTTTAATTTCCAATATGATGGCAAGAGGTTTTGGACCCTGGTTTCATTCTGGGTCATTTTCACCCTGAGGTACCCTGGGGGTCTTAGCTTAGTGGGTAGGGTGTCCTATTAGACTTCCTGCTTGGGCGTGCCTTGTATCTTGACTTCTCTCGCTTTGCCTCTTCAGACCTTAGAACCAAAACCCAGCTTTGCTGAATGGGCAGATACCTTGACAGGCGCAGTGACTTTGGTACTCTGGTATTTTACTTTCTTTTCTGAGTTCCTGCTTTTTTTTTCAGAATTAGACTGGTAGTTCTCTATCATCATCTAAGATCTTAGATACTTTTAAGATGATGTCTCTCTTTTTTATTAATTCAGCATTTATTTTTCAGTTAGAACCTAGTTAGTCTGAATAATCTTGTGAGCCTTTCCTGGAAATGAAACTTGAATGGTTTTAAATTTTGAATTAACCTTTATTTTAATTCTCCTCTAGTAATAGTACCTATTGTGAATGGTTGCTTTCAAGAGAAGTGAGATAGTACATGTAAAGAGCTTGGGAAGTATCCAGTGGTAGTGAGTAGTTTTTCCAATTTTCTTTCATTTTTCAACATTTTTTGTCCTCAGTATAATTCGGGGAGACTATTTGTCTTCCCACTTCACTGTTAAGGTTTTTAGCGCTCTCTATTCTACCAATCAGACCATTTATTGGCTTTACTAACATATTCAAATTTTAAGTTTTAAGATCTCCAGTGGAACTTCTAGCATCTTTCTGGGTATATTTATTTTAAAATCTTGTTTTTGGCTTTATTATCCTTTATTTCCTCAGGTATAGGTTTTATGTGAAGGTTGCTGCCTCACTGAATCTGTTGGTTTTCTGAAAATATTTGGTCAACATTGGTTGTAATTTGTATTTTAAAATGACCTTTGTATTTGAGATTGCCTGAAAGCTTGTCCACAGATACTGTATAAGTTTACTCCAGCCGGCCTTCAGAGTGGGAAGATTCTGATCACTTCATAGGTGATTTTGGGTACTTCTGTAAAGTGATCTTAGCATCCATTGATGATCACTACTTAGATGCATTAATTTGCTAGGGCTTGCCAAACAGCAGTTTTCTAATTCTCATGCCGTCGTTTATTAGCTGATATACTTTTACAAAAGTAAACTTAATTTCCTCAACTATTTGGTTAACCTGAAGAGCAGAACACTTAGAAAAGGCAGATAAATGCTTGACTATTTTTATTTATTTACTTTCTTTCATAATATTGAGCTGATTTCTCCAGCAGTCTCCAAAGCTGACCAGTAATTATTTTTCAGTATCATTGTGAACACATGGATTTTATGTGTTTGATGTGTCTTGATCTGTTGCAGTTGTGTTTTTTTTATACAGATTGTCTGGTCTTTGAACAGTTGAGCCTCTTCACACACAGTAGGATGGCTATGAGGAAGAGAAACAGGCAATGACAGTTGTTGTTCAGGATGTAAAAGAGTTTAGAACCTTCATACATTGCTAATGTAAAATATTACAGCTGCTTTGGAAAACGATTTGGCAGTTACTCAAAAGGTAAAACAATAGTTATTCTGTGACCCAGAAATTCACTTCTAGGTGTATACCTAAGAGAAATGAAAGTGCGTCCACACGACAACTTGTACGAGTGTTTATAATAGCATTATTCATAATATTCAAAATGTGGAAACAATTCAGATGTCTGTCAACTGATGGGTGGGTAAACAAAATGCGGTATATCTATATAATGGAATATTATCTGGCAATAAAAAGGAATGAAGACCTGATTCATGCTAAAACATGGGTGAACCTTGAAGACAATATGCTGAAGTGAAAAAAGCTAGTTAAAAAAAAGACCACGTATTACATCATTCAATTTATATGAAATGCCCAGGATAGTCAAATCTTTAGATAAAAAAGTATCTAAAGATACAAATCTTTAGGTACAATTAAAGGGTTGCCTAGGGCTGGGAGAGGTGGGAGGGAAATGGGAGTGACTGCTGTAGGTTATGGGTTTCTTTTGGGGATGATGGAATGTTTTAAAATTGATTGTGATAATGATTGCACAACTGTGTGGAAATACTAAAAAATGTTGAATTGCGTGCTATTAATGGGTGAATATGTGACCAAGGAGAAAAAATATTTACCATGCATAGCAGAGGGTTAACTTTCTTAAATTACAGAATGTTCTTACAAATTAATGAGACTAACAAACCTGTAAAAATAGTCAAAACACATATGAAGAGACAGTTCTTTCAGTCAACGTGTGATCAACTCTTCTAGGTGCTTTGAATACAGATGTGAACAGATGTGCTCCTATAGAAGAGCTATGAACTGTATGTGTGTAACAATAGAAGGATGGTGGGGAGTTAGGAACAAATAACATCATTTCAAATTATGCTAAGCAATACGCAAGAAACTGAACAGGGGGACATGATAGGGAATGACCAGGGTGGAGGATTGATGGGTTACATAAGTTGTTTCCCCACATACTGTTGAGGGGAGGCTTCTCTCTGAGGAGGTGACAGTTAAGCTGAAGACACAAATGATAAGGAGCAAGCCATGTAGAGAAATTGGTTTAACACCAGGGTAAGATTGTTATAAGCAGAGCAAACAGGAAGGCCTTGGAGTGAGTGGCTGGGCCTGAAGTTAGTACATTTAAGGGGTGGCAAGGCTTTTAAGGGGGTGGGAAGTGTTAAGTGGTAAAGCAGAGGTAACAGGAGGCTATTGCAGTAGTCCAGGTGACAAGTCTGTGTTGGCTTGGACTAGTATGGTGATAATGTAGATAGATTTAGTATGAATTTCGGAAGTAGATTTAACAGGACCTGCTGATTGTGGAGGATGAGGGAGAATAGAAACAAATTTTGCCTGGCAAACTTAGGTGGATTCATTTTCTGAGATGGGCAATATTAGCTGGG